TTTCAGGGTCAAAGTCATCGTCCGATTCATGATAATGTTGTTCAGTGTCTCCAATTGTGTTCAGTTCCAGATCCAATCCCTCAAAAACTATTAACCTCTGTAGCAAATCACTTGCCTCATTCCGTACGTGGGTCATACTTGTTGTTGGTTCCTGCTAATTGTTGGTTCCAACGCTCATCTGCCCTCGCAGATATCAATATACCTGTGTGTTTCTTCATACAGCTGAGGGTCCTGCGACCCCTTCATACGCTCCTTGTCTCGGCATACTGGTCCTCGGCGTGCTGGTCATAGGTCCTGGATTCTGGTTCTGAGGTCGGGTTACTAGTCGGTCATACCGCAGGAACGTGATGTCTCCCCTCGCCCTGGCCTCCCTTAACATCGGCATCAACTCCCTTCTATATATGCCAACTCTCTCTCCCCTTGCCCCCTTTTCTTTCTGTCTCTATACACAAACTTCATATAAATTGTCCCTCTCATCTGAGCTGATTTGTATGTAAACCTGATTATCTGACAGAGAAAGGTACAACAGCAGCCAGGAACTTGAATGTCATCAACCCTGCACATCATATTTCTCAAGAGCCTGACAGAGGCAGCCCAAATTAATTCAATGTGGAAACGGCCGCCGCCACTGCCATTATCATGCCCAAAAAAGATGAGTGAAACAATGTGTTTTGGTGACCTGTGACATATCCACTGCAGCAACATGGGACTTCATCCTCCAGATGATCTCAAAAGCCTAATAGGAATCACTGGAGTTTCTACGCTGCTGTAAGAAGAACAATCACTCCTTGACAACCTCTAATTAGAAAATCATTTTTGCTTCATATTAATGTCATATTTTTATTCTCTTTCTCTGTATTGACTTGTATTGTGAGGACGTGTACCCTGCCAGCTATTTTTGGAAGTAAGAAGTTCATCAGTGAGACACATAGTGTAGTATAAAGAAGTCTTGTTTTAGATTGGTGCCTAGTAAACGTGCAGGCACTTGCTAAGCCCTGTCAACTGTAAAGCTTTTCTCTTAATCTAAACTGTGCCATGCTAGGGCCTGCAAAACCCATGTGTATTATCAAAAATGCTTTTGCAGTTCAGTCATTTACAAACATTCTGTAATGTTTTTGTATGAAACTTAGCAACCTCCCACAGTGTTCGGAGGAGGATATTTTTGCCAGCCCTGCTGTTATTCTAATTGTAGGAGTTTGAATCTCACCCATCCCCTTTAATTACACTGGTGTTTCTTTGTTACCACAAATTAAACTAGTGTGGATATGTTACCCAAATTAATCAGGATTAATCAAGAATGTTTTAAACAGTATAAAAATGCTGGCCCTCTTTTTTAAATTTTAAAACAGGAATGATTTTGGAAAGAGCTGAAGTTGACACACTGATTCGACTGAAGTAAGACGCTGGCAGCAGAACCTGGTTATTAAAATGCGCATGCAAATTCAGATTACACTATAGCGGTCTCAGAAAAGAACAGTGCACTGTAAAAAGAATATTTTACACTAACAGATTCATAAACTTGACAAGACAGCAAACACCATGTAGACACATGAACATGCACCATATCAATGGGTCATTAAATATGTTGACTCAGCAATCTTGTCATGGACTTGTCAGTTTATAGCCATAATAATCTTGGTATCCAAACACATATATTTTGTTTACTCATGCATTGCTTTTATAATTTTAGATAATGAGACATAATAGATCTGCATCTATAGATTTATTTTTAATGGTATATGTGCCCCAAATCAAACAATTTTAATTTTCAGGGTTTTTAGTACCAGTACAAGGTCATAGTATCCAATAGTCAGCGTGGTTGACTATGCCAGAGACAGATTCATGAGTGTAAGGTCCAGCTCATCCTCCAGTGTACCCAACAGCATTACAGTGTTGAAGCTTTGGTTTGGCCTCCTGGGTCTGTCACACACCACAAAGGTGAGTTTCACCATAAGCCATCATCACGTGGATGTCTGGGTATTGTGTGACCGGTACCGTCTTTCTGCTGTCAATGAGCTGCTGCTGTGCTTCTCTAAGGAAGCCACCTACTGACTTGACACATCCACTGCAGTTCTGCTCTTTCAGCAACCTGGCTGTTTGCCTTCTACAGCATTCAGTGCTTTACAAAACTGCAAAGCCCAGGATATGTCAGCAAGCATGAATCAGATGTCTGCCTTTATTGCACAAGGCAGACAATGGCATAACTTTCTCCTCTAACATTTACAACCAAATGCCCTCATTAAACCACTGTCATTCATCATGGCTGTATGCACAGTTCAATGACATTCTCAGAATTTCACAATGACAGCTATGTGGTTGTTTTCACGGGCATCACTGCTACACAGGCTGCAGGGCGAAGCTTACTATAGCTCCATACATTCCACTCAGCTAGTTCATTACTTAACTGATTTAATGAAGTACTTGCACTCAAAGACATGTAGCCATGCTGGGAGACAAGAGAACATTAACAGTAGGTCAGCAGTGCCAGTAGTACCAGACCACTAAGGACAGGCTACCACTGATGAAACAACAATCCTGTTGGGAACCAGTGATGCAGCTGGAAGAACATTATCCAGTCAGAGACTGTAAAGGCTTTATCTGAAGGCATGTTTTCAAAAGGGCTAAAAGTGATTATGTAGTCTTTGCATGATGGCAAACTATATATCCACCAAGAAAGACAGTCAAGTCGTTCAGTTGTGTGCTACAACTTCGACCAAACATTTCACAATGTCTCTTGCTACTTTACCTCATCACAGCTTCATGAAGCAAAGTCAAAGCTTCAGGAGCAGGAACGACTTTAAAGAGAGGAGACTGGCTTCGAATTGTGAAAACCATCTAATAAATGTCAATGCCATGCAATGCGAATTAAGCTACACAAAACACTGCATTTGTGGCATCTGGCTTCCACAGAAAATCATGTGGTCTTGTTCAAGAAATACTCCATATAGTACCTTCTGTATTTGTACATTGAAACAGCTGAGACTAATGCATTGTCACTTAGATTGAAACTATTCAGCGAATATTTACTGTACATTCTCCCTTTCTGGAGATTGAGAGACAAATGTATTTCACAATGTGAGGGAAACTTACAGGGATGCTGAGAAACTAAAAGAGAAGACTACTATACAAAATTAATACTAAAAGAGAAAATGAACAAATAAAACTGCAAGATCTGGAGGTGAAAAACTATACACTTTGATGAACTGCTGTATCTACCATGATGTTGAGAAATCACAAACATGTAGGTTACACATAGGCCTAATGTTTACCTTCATTGTCCCCTGAAGGTAACCCACATCAGGCTTAGTCTCTCTATGTCCTCTCAGTTATGTTGCGTTACTATAAATACAGCCAAAGAGCTGGAGCACTATATCTAGGCCTTTGCAGCACAGGCCTAGTGAGCGCTATACTGGAAACACCTGCCATTACTGACAGAGCCACACAGAGGATTCTCCATCCTACTACAAAAAAGGTACTAGAAAACCTGGTGGGACTGTATAACTCAAGCTGAAACATATCTACTGTGAGATTTGTTTGACAGTGTTGGTTTAATAAGTCAACAAACAGTACAGCACTCCACTGACACAGTCTGCATCCTGGCCTACTTCATTTCCCAGTAAACTACTAGACCTGTCTGCTGCTTCAGCAGAAACCCTGACTATTGTGTCCACACCATCAGTTCATGATGATTCTAAAGGAGCCTCCACAAGCTAAATGTGGCCTCCTCTGACTTTGAAAGACATTGTGACACCTGACAATGAGTCTGTTTGATCGACTGGCAGCATGGTGTTGAGCATGAGTTAGTGTCTTGGTACAGCTATTCTACTGAGAAGCTATAAATCAATTATCAGATTCAGAATGAGTCTACATGTTTGGCTAATCAAGCTCCGCACTGATAAATTCGTGTCTCTATGCTGTGCATTTTTGCAAAGATAAGCACAAGCTCATTTCAGAAAAAAGTCGTAGGTTGTGTGACAACATTCACCAATGTTCTTGGAGATACCGTACGTCTAGTGCTTTAAACACCTGCAACAAAAGACAGCCTTCTACTTCTACTTCTACTACTACTTCTTCTTCTTCTTTTTCTTTTTCTTTTTTCTATTTTACCTTCTTCTTCTTCTTCTTCTTCTTCTTCGTTGTCGTCTTCTTCTTCTTCCTCGGGTTTAATGGCGGTTGGAAAAGACAATTTGCAACTACCTATTGCGCCTTTGCGTCAGAAGTGATATAGCTCATTATATGGGTGGAAGGAATTTTTTATGAAATTATAAAGTGATATCAAT